TTTGATTGTTTTTAAGTTTTTTGTCATTAAAGAGTTATTTTTTATAATAGATTTTAAAAAATTTATTTTACTCACAACACTTCTACATTTACTTTGAAAACAAAACAAGCTGCAATCATTCCAAACCAATTCTAAGAATGATTATTTAATTTATATTTTGAAAAATAATTATAACAATTTATAAGATGTTTGTTACTCTTTGATTTAAAAAAAAAATTAGGACTTTTGAGTCAATTAGAGTAAACTCACACAAATATCACTTACGCAAGCTTTGAACCTACGGATAAGTCAAAACTCTCAACTAACAAATCAAGAAGATCTATGTGACTCGGAAATTGCAATGCTGAAATTGTTTTTTCTTTGTTTATTATCTATGGGCTGATGATGGTACCTTTGATGCAAGACACAATTTCTTTGTCTAGTAATTCGCCATTAAATTGGCTCAATCTATTTGTAAAACATTTTTTTTTTATTTTTTTTTGGGTATTTTTGTGTTTTGTGTTGAAAGCAATTCATAGATAACCCAAAAACAAAATCCAATTATAAATAAAAATAGGACTTTAACTTTCCAACTAATTGTGGCAATCTATAAGTATATATTCACTAGATAATTGATTGTATGATAAATTTGAATTACATATTTTATTATTTATTATTTATTATTTTAAGGGTGTTGATTTACTAATATATATAAAGATGTTGATTTACTAATATTTATTTTTTTCAGGTGGTCAGTGATTGCAGGACATTTGCCTGGAAGGACTGATAATGAGATCAAGAATTATTGGAACTCACATTTAAGCAAGAAAGCTGAAGGTTTGTTAAACAAAGATGATGAAAGTTGTGTCAACAATGTCCGAAAGCGAAAGGGAGGCAGGCCAAGCAAATTGGCTAAGAAGAAGAAGGCTGAAAATGAGATTTTAAGCAAGGAGAAGGGTGAAAAGGTTAAGGATGTGATAGAAGTAAGAAGGAGTGAGGAAGTAGAGAGTGTTGTTATAGACCCACAACCTCAACAAGCTGTCTCTAAAGACTTTCCATCAATAGAGGTTTTATTGGGCGATGAGGAGAACAATAAGGGTGAAACTTTGAGCCAAAATGAAGAAAATGAAGGGAGAGAAAAAGAAATGAATGGAGTGGGAGTACTTGAGGTACTGTCAAATGAGGATGTTGGGCCTTCCCTTGATGAGATTGAGAAGTTGATTGATTGGGAATTGGAGGAGATAGCCTTGAGGTTATGGGAGGGGGAAGGGGAGGGTGTTGGTGAAATATTGCCTTGGATTTGGGAGGATGAGAGCCATGAGATTAGTGGAGAGTTCGGTGGTTTTATTGATAGTGGGAAGTTTGATGCCTTCAAGTATGATGATGATTATTTGGATAATTGGCTTTTATCTGATGTATCAGAGTTTTCCACTTGGCTTGGTTCTTGCGGTTGAGGGAGATGTAAATGAATTGGTGAAAAAAGAGAAGGCATCTTCATTAGAACAATGCGTCAAATTTAGGAGCAAAATGTACGCAAATTTCTTTGATGGCTTTCTTATTTTGAGCTTCACCCATGTGAAAGAATAAGATAGATTATGTAATCAACTTGATATGAATGATTTTGGGCATGTAAATTATGTTGAGTATGCCACTATCATCGGTGCATGTAATCTATTTGAATAAGAGTAAAATTAGACTTTTATCTTAAGTGGTTGAAAATTAAACAATTTTGTGGCTTTTAGTTTCTAATAAGAATTAATATATATATGCTGGTGCTTCATATGTTCTACTATTGTTGTAGATCTAGTACGGTTGATGAGTCCCATCGATTAGGCGTGGATCAATTAATGCTTGTGGCCATGTTATGTTCAAATGATTATGAAAAGTAAATATCTCAAGGATTAGATGCAAATGAATAATGATAATTCATTATTCATTCTTTATTCATTATGTGTGGCTGAAGACCACTCTCATAATAATTTAACACTTATAAGATGTTAACTTTTACAAGGTTTTGATAATGATGATCTTACATGAAAATTAAATTAAATCATTTTTGCTATAATCATTAGAGTTCCATTGGGGATACTATGATTTAGAGTAGGGGTGTCAATTTCGGGTCACGGGTCGGGTTCGGGTCGAACCCGGAACTGACCCAGCACTATTCGGGTCAACCCGAACCCGACCCGCTTCAGGTTCGGGTCAACCCGACCCGACCCACTTTGGATTCAACACGGCACACCGAGTCACGCTTCGGCGTTCCGCGTTCGACCGCGGGACTGCGGGATGCGCGGCACAGCGGCAGATATGACCTCGGGAACGCGGGATGCGCGGCTGACTCGATCGTGGGGCGGTACGCGGGGGACTAGTATTGACAGCTCTAATTTAGAGCATAGAGGGAATAAAGAGAGAGAAAGATAAGAAGATTTAGAGAATCCATCATAGATGGATTGAGTTGTAGAAGATTTTTCAGTTTATCCCATGAGAAAAAAATCAAGATTCAACATTAGCTAAGATATTGTTTTAATAAACATGATCTTAAGAAAATTTCAAAGGGAATTTAGTTGAAAAACATTATGATGAAAAATATGATATTATCATGCCCATACTAAACTAGCAATCTATGTATATATATAGATCAATATGGCATGATAAAATGATAATTAAGGGCATAAATAAAGTCGGTACAATTAACTTTGTAGTATTTATTTTGAAATGATATGTTATTCTATATGCTATACTTTTTTAATTTGTAGTAAAAAGGAAACGAAATAATAATTTGAAAATACAAACTTCTTTATTATTTTTAAAAGATGTTCATTGCTTACCTACATTCAATATCCTAATAATCAGTAGGTGAGCCACATATGTTAGAGATGATTTTTCATAAAGTAACTCGTTAAATTCCAATATCATATTCGATAGAGAGTTGAATTCAAGAACCTATGGGTAATAATGAATTGTGTGATAACTTGTCATTTAATGTCTACAAAGGAGGCAATGACCAACAAAGGAAGATGCAAGAACCACTATAGTGGCTCCTTATTGAATATGGTGATGAGGAGATTGTGCTTCATGTGAAACCCCTTAAGTAAAAGAAGCTAAACTCCTAAACATCAAAGCACATTTTTGTGTAATGGTTGAAATTTTATTAAGAAAATTCACAGCTAAGTGTGTTCATCTTAAAGAAATCCTAGGATGGGTGACCTCTTGGAATGTTACACCAACATAACAAAATTGTGAGACCCTTAGGTTAAAGCGAATAATTTCTCAATAATTAAGAGTTTAAACTATTACAATTGGTATGAAAGTAATACACTAACTAGAAGATGTGAACTAAGTGTCATATAAGACATAGTGCTATCTCATGATAGCGGTAGTCACACTATAAGAAAATAAGCAATTTATGGTAAATTTGTGGTGAAATTTTTTTTCTCAAAATTGCGATTGATTTGCAACTAAAGTATTTGTTATTTTGGTGTCAGATTAACAGTGAAAGTTCTGTTGCAAAGTTGCTACATAATTTCTGTCAAAAATCCGCAACAAATCTAACATAAATAACTTATCTAAACAAACTGACTCGATGCATGTTTCATTCATTTGTTCTATTCTCAACTGTGACCTTGCTCAGCTCCTTCAACGATGTTCCCTGTGGCACTGCATCCTTTGATGATGTTCCTTCATGTTGCATTCAAAGTTACACTTCCTCGCCGTTCTTCACAGTTGTCATCTCACCTTATTTCGGTCTTTCTTTTTTCGTGGTTGTCGCATCTCCTTTATGACTCTATTCGTAGCCAAAGTCAGATCGAGATGGAGCTTGCTAGTTGAGAAGATATTCATCTTTCTTCCTTTTGCTTTCTTCTTCATCCAAAATTTCATATTTGAACTCACACCTCCTCGCCGTTTTTTTTGTAGCGACCAAATTTGAGCAAAAGGAAGCTTGGTCATTGCAAAGGTAATCATCTTTCTTCCTTTTATGCTCATCCTCTTCCAAACCCTAAATCCACTACTGCCACAAGGTATGAATTTTGATGATGATTACTTCTTTATTAATAAGATTAGAGAGGGAGTTGAATGTAAACTTGAATTGTAGAGGTCAATCCTCTACCTACACATACTAGGGACAATCCTCTTCTACTTCCAGCTACTCTGCAAATAGCTAGAAGAGTTTGTATAGCCAATATGTGCCTAATTTGATAATAGAGCTAAAAAATATCTGAAAATCACAAGCTGACATTAACATTCATATACTGGATGAGCTTCGGAGATTGAGAAAGCAGATTGGCGAAAAATTAGTCTGTGCCTGCATCAGCCGAGCAAGAGAGTGAGGTTACAGATTCCACTTAGATTTTATGTCCGGGCCATAGGTGGCGGCCTGATGGAGCACAGAGCCTCAAGTGGTGGCCTGGTGGAGCACAGGGCCTTAGGTGGTGGCCTGGCGGAGCAACGAGGTCAGGCGGTGGTCCGGCGGATATGAGGGCCTCAAGTGATGGTTCGGTGGAGCAACGATGTCAGGCGGTGGTCCGGCGGAGGTGAGGACTTCAAGTGGTGGCCTAGTGAAGCGTAGGGCCTCAAATGGTGGCCTGGCGAATGTTTGGGCCTTAGGTGGTGCTTCAGTGGAGCAACGACGTTAGGCGGTGGTCCAACGGCGGTGAGGGCTTCCAATGGTGGTCCGACAAAGCAATGACGTCAGACGGTGGTCCGGTGGAGTTGAGGGCTTCAAGTGGTGGTCCGGCGAAGTAACGACGTCAGGCGGTGGTCCGACTGAGGTGAGGGCCTCAAGTGGTGGTCTGGTGAAGCAACAACGTCAGGCGGTGGTCCGGTGGAGGTGAGAGACTCAAGTGGTGATCTGATGAAGGCGAGGGCCTCAGGCGGTGGTCCGACGAGGATGAGGGCCTTAGGTGGTGGTACAGAGAAGGCGAGGGCCTCGAGCGGTAGTCCGGCGAGGATGAGGACCTTAGGTGGTGGTACGGCGAGACTCCGAGGTGGTCGAGGAGGAGCTTCTTCCATCTCTTTTTTCATCTCTTCTTGCTTGGATCCCCCCTTCAAGAGAAATGAGGGGTTTATTTATAAATTTCTGGAGTGGCATGACCCGTAAATAGGTGAGAGATCAAGGATAAA